GGGGGGGGGAGAGGAGAGGAGAGGAGGGGAGAGGGAGAGGGAGAGGGAGAGGGAGAGGGAGAAAGAAGAAGAAGAAGAAGAAGAAGAAGAAGAAGAAGAAGAAGAAGAAGAAGAAGAAGAAGAAGAAGAAGAAGAAGAAGGAGAAGAAATTGGTTTATCAGAAACTGATTAGGCTGCCCCATGAGACTACTAACACAGGTCAGGAAGTAATGTGGTCCAAAGTCACAAGAAGTTACCGGAATTGAACTCGACCAGCGTCATCAGTAACTTCCAGAAAGCCTCACAGGAGCACGCCATGTATGGAGCCGAATGGCTAGTCCTCCGCCATCCCAGACAAGCTGCTTTTCAAGCAGATGACTGGCCAAAGAGCTCGGGACAGAGCTCAAGGGACCATCTCTCCAGCTCCAGCATTCTGTCTCCATTTCCCCAAACGTAGATGACTCTGGTCAAAATACAATCCCATCAGGGGTTCAAATGTGAGGGCTACAGTTATGTTTTAATTTGAAATTCCTGTGCTAAAGAGACGTATAAGACAAAAATGCCTCTAACCTGTAAGCCCCACTTGCTCAAAGACAGTTAATGAGTAACCTGCCTAACTTAATTTTGATGACAGGAACCATCATACTTTATTGTTAAAAATAAGTTTCCATTTCCTTTAAGAACTGAGTGACTATTTTTACATCTGTTTCCTGGAGACTGGCATGCTCCAACACATGATCTTGACTTCGTTTTGAGAATTTAACCTCCCTAGTCGCATGGTGACCACATGAAATTTTTTTGAGACTTTTTTGCATTTCCTTATTGCCTCACTGTAGAGGCAAGCTTTGAGGTCTCATATGCTTAAGTCATGCCCTAAGAGATCACTCCTGTTGCCTGTATGTCAACATGTAACAGCTCCTTTTCCAGCACTATGTCTGCCTGCAGGCTGCCATGCTCCCCACCATGATGAAAATGGACCAAATCTCTGAAACTGTAAACTGCTACCTCAATTAAATGCTTTCCCTTATAAGAGATGTTGTGAGTCATGGGGTCTCTTCTTAGCAATAGAAACCCTAACTAAGACAGGGACCAACCTGTAAATTTTCTGGTGAACATAGGTGTAAACAGAGACTCTGCTTTAATTTCCGGGCTACCCAGACTCAAATAATCACACAGAAACTATAGTAATTACAACACTGTTTGGTCAATGGCTCAGACATATTCCTAGCTAGCTCTTACATCTTAAATTAACACATTTCTATTCATCTGTGTATTGCCACGAGGCTGTGCCTTCCTGGTAAGGTTCTGGTGTCCTTTACCATTGGCAGCTACTTGGCATTTCCCTGACTCTGCCTTCTTTCCTCCTCTATCTCTGCTTGGATTTTCCACCTTGCTATATTCTGCCCTGCCATAGGCCAAAGCAGCTTCTTTATTAACCAATGATAATAAAGCATATTCACAGCATACAGAGAGGAATCCTACATTACACAGGGGCTACTTATTCAGTATAACAGGAGACCCTGTGACCTCTTACAATCGAACAAGAAAAGTACAGGGGCAACAGGGGTTATCAAAGAATACAAATGGACCATTGACTGGGGTGTTAATTAAGGAAACGTGACTCATTACCGCTATTTCTGAATATCATTATTCTTTACTGGGGCAAAACATCCAGAACAAGCTCCAGGCAACAATATTGTTCTTAGGGTACATTCCTAGGTGAAATTGGGAAGCCCTGCTAAGACTTTAACTCTTACCTGCCCAGTAAGCGAGGAATTTCTGTTCCTCCAAATTCCAACCCAATCCCTGGAAGGGAAATGGAAAAAGTTAACAATTCAGGAAGTTCCTACAGTTTGGGCAGAGAACAATCCTCCTGGCTTGGCAAAACATGTGCCACCTGTCATAGTGCGTCTAACATCTGGGGTAAGGCCCATTCCAGTCAAGCCCTACACCATTAGTTCAGAAGCTAGGAAGTGGTTAAGATTCACCTCAGGTGCCTCCTTAAAGGAGCCACATGTATTCCTTGCCAGTTAGCCTGGAATACCTCCTTGTTTCCTGTCCAAAAGCCTGGAACTCAAGACTATAGACCAGTACAAGACTTGAGGAAAGTAAACAAGAGGGTAGAATCCACTTACGCAACTGTTGCAAATCCCTACAGTTTGCTCAGTTAATTACCACCCGAGCATAAAGTCTACACTGTTTCGAGCTTAAAAGATGCACTCTTGGGCTGACGAGGGAGGGGGACTTGATTGGGGGAGGGGGAGGGAAAGGGGAGGCGGAGGTGGGGAAGAGACAGAAATATTTAATAAATAAATTTAAAAAAAAAGATGCACTCTTCTCCACCTCCAAATTGAAGTCAGCCTACATTCACGTCTGAATATGTAGACGATTTATTATTAGCTGCTAAAGATGAGGAGGACTGTTTGAGAGCCACCAGAGGCCTTTTGGAAACAACAGCTGAGTTAGGTTATAAAGTTTCTAAAAAGAAAGCCCAAATTTTCTGGCTTTGGATTATCTACGTGGGATATGATCTAAGAGAACAGGAAAAGACTACGGTGCCAAGCCCACATAGTGGCCATAATGCAAATCCCAGCTCCAACCGTCAAGAAACAGGCTAGGGAATTTCTGGGAGCTGTTGGATATTGCTGTCTTTGGATACCTGGGTTTGCTGAAATTGCTACACCCTTGTACTCTGCCACAGCTGGGGCAACAGTCCTTTGGAATGGACTGAGGAACATGAGTAGGCCTTTTAGAACTTAAAAGAGGCCCTGGTACAGGCCCTACTTTCACTCTTCCTAATAGCTCCAAGCTCTTCTCTCTCTCTCTTTTTAAATTATTTTATTATGTATACAGTGCTCTGCCTGTGTATATGCCTACAGGCCAGAAGAGGGCATCAAATCTTAATATAGATGGTTGTGAGTCACCATGTGGTTGCTGGGAATTGAACTCAGGACCTCTGGAAGAGCAGGCAGAGCTCTTAACCACTGAGCCACCTCTCCAGCCCAAGCCCTTTCTTCTTTACATCCATGAAATATAGGGCATTGCCAAGGAAGTCCTGTCTCAGACTCTGGGTCCCTGGAAAAGGCTGATAGCTTACATCTCAAAGAGACTGGATCCTGTAGCCTCTGCATGGCCCTTTTGTTTAAGAGCTGTTACAGCCACCACAATTCTTTTTTTTTTTTTTTTTTTTGGTTTTTCGAGACAAGGTTTCTCTGTGGCTTTGGAGCCTGTCCTGGAACTAGCTCTGTAGACCAGGTTGGTCTCGAACTCACAGAGATCCGCCTGCCTCTGCCTCATGAGTGCTGGGATTAAAGGCGCGCGCCACCATCGCCCGGCTAGCCACCACAATTCTTGTAAAAGAAGCTGACAAGCTCACATCGGGACAGACTCTAACTGCAACAGCTCCACCTGTTGTGAGAGCCCTGCTGAGAGACGCCAGCAGGCAGTGGATGTCTAATGTCCATCTGGGGTAGTTTGAATGTAATTGTCTCCCATAAGCTCACAGGGACTGGCTCTATTAGGCAGTGTATAGCCTTGTTGAAGTAGGTGTGGCCTTGTTGGAAGAAGTGTGTCACGTTGGAGGCAAGCATTGAGATATCCTGTGTTCAAACTACGTCTAGACCAGTTCACTTCCTGTTGTCTG